CCGTTTTACTTGGTCCAAGTGGCTGGTTCCCCAGTTCCTCGGAGCCTGAGGATCCATTTCCTCTCTGCGAAGCGCTGGGAACTGCCTCTCCTCCGCCTCAGCTTGATGTTTGACACCTGCCTTTGATAACAGGCATGACCTTGGGTGTGTCTGCTCACGCGCACGCAGCCCAGTGCCTGTGAGTTGAGGTGGTTGCAATGGTTGCCGTCCAGGGTCCCCTGAGCCCAAGTCTGAAAGAGTGGCCCCTCGGCGGTGTTTTGTCGTCACAGTGGTGAACTTGGCGCACAGGACACGCCCCCTCAGCGGGCGTGCAGGTTGGGGTGTGTGTCATGAGAGCATGTGACATTCTGAGACTCACTATGCACAGCACCATGGGACCCTGCACCGCGGCACCCACGCTGCAGGGCCGGCCCACAAGCCTTGGGCGCGCAGCGGGCAAGCGGCCAAAGCAATACAGGAAATTCAGGGTGAAGTAAGAAACACGCTTTTCCTTTCCAGAGTTGTTATTTGAAAGGCAGCTGATGAACTTGGCTTTTCTGGTCCGGCCTAAAGCGCCGACAAGCTCGGTGTAGGGGAAGGTGCCAGCGGGAGTGGGGGTGGGGGCGGCAGCGGAGGGGACAGTGAAGACTGGAGGGTTTCCCTCGGCAGTTTCCCTGCGGGCGAGCTAGGGACCTGTGAGCCCAAAGGAGAAAATCTGAAAAACAAAGGAGATTGGAAAATTATGCTGTGAAACCCTGTTTCTCTGCTTATACAATTTTTTCCCAGGACCCTGCTGCTCAAAAGTCTGATGGGTCAGTTTCCTCAAGTCCCACACCAGGGCCCAGTGGCCCTCAGTCTTGGCTACAAGTTAGGGTCACCTGGGCAGCGTTTACGAGTGCCAGTGCCAGCCCTGGCCGGGGGGCTCCGTGGGTTGGGGCGCCGCCCCACACACCGGGAAGCCCGCGGGTTCCGTCCCTGGTCAGGTGGTGAGGTGGTCAGCGCACGTGCCTGGGTGGCAGCTGCGATCCCCGGGTGCGGCGCGTACAGGAGGCAGCTGGCCGATGTTTCTCTCTCACATCGATGCTCCTCTCTCTCTCCCCCCCGCCCCCCAAATCAATCAACATTTCCTCAGATGCGGATTTAAAAAAAAGTGCCCATGCCAGACAGGAACCCCAACCAAGGACAGCACACTCTTTGGAGGTGAAATTCAGGCGTCACATTTTTAAAGCTCCCCAGGTGGTTCTGATAACTCGCTGAGTAGGGTCCTCATGGGAGCAACACCTGGGAACCTGGTAGAAACGCGAATTCTCAGGCCCAGGCCTGTGGGTCAGACCCTCCGGGGGCAGAGCCAGCCGCCAGCCTTCCTAGCGGTGATTCTAGAGCGAGAGCACTGCCTTGGGGGTGGCCGCAGACCTCTGACCTGGCAGGCTTTCAGAGCGGATGTTTCTGATTGCTTCCTCCGGCTGCAGAAACGTCCATGTGGTGTTAAGTGGCGGGTCTCGGCGAACTCGCCAACACGCAGCAGCCGCAGAAGTTCCTTTGAATTTGCTGTGGGCTCTGAACCAGCTCACCTTTGGCGATGGAAGCCGGAATTCTGCTCCCGTGGCGGGGAAGTGATAAGAACGCTCCAGCAGGAGTTGGTGGCAGGAATCCTTGCCAATTGTGGTCGGCCGCGGTTTACGGAAGAAAATTATATTACCGGCTCAAGGCCTGCCTGTTTTCTGGGCAGGGTTTCTGCGTTCGTAAGTGGTTTCCAGTCACTTGAAACGAAAATACTGGACGCCATGTTTAAAAATCTTGACTGATTTCCAGCAGACCCACAGCTCCAGGTCTACGCTTTTAAGAAAAAAAAAAATCGTTACCCGACGACTCCTGCCCACTGCCTGGTTAGAATGGGGCAAATGCTGGTTTTGTAGAAGAGGGTCTGGCAGCTTACCCCCTGCCAGGTCTCTGGGCACAGACTCCAAGGCCCCGAGGTGTCAGGAAAGGCCACAAACACATGTGCTCCCCATTTTGGCCCCGGCGCCACCAGGTAAAGAAATGCCATGGTGATCGGCTGGGGAAGAGCCAAACCCCCAAACCCCTGGGCTGCTGTTTCTTAACAAGGCGGAAACACCAAAACACTCCCCCTCGGAACACCAAGTATGCGCACTGGGGGCCCCACGCTGGCTGGCAGCCACTCTGGGACCCGGTGGGCGACACACAGCCCAGAGGTCAGCGATCCTTCTCCTCAGTTGCCAAAGGCCAAAAGACAGGGTTGAGCAGCCAAAGGAGCCTGACTTGGGTCGCGTGGTCGGGATGCGGGGCCTGAATCCAAGGCCAGGAGGAGGCGGGATTCCTAGCTCTGGGCGCCCTCCGCTCCCTCCCCACTGGTCACAGAGCCGGGCCTATGCCCCCCGCAGAGAGAGTTGCCCCTCCGGAAACGGCTCTGGAGGCGGCAGGGGCGTCTGCTAATCAGATAAGCCGGCCAGGAAGAGCCGGCCCCACCCGTCGGGAGCTAGTGAGAAGTTTACACACAGCCCTGCCTGGCTGTGTGCTATGGAGGCAGCGGGGGATGGGCCCGCGGACAGGGACCCTGCGCTGCTGAAGTCGGCAGGGAGCGCAGCGGCCTCCAGCGTGTGCGGCGGGTGGTGCAGGCCTGGCCGGCACAGCGAAAGGCTTCGGGAAGGAGGCGAGAGACTGCTGAGAGCTGAGTTTGGAGGCCTGGCGAGGCAGGCACCATTCAGGAGTCTCCCGGGCCAAGCAGTTGCAGCAGCCCGTGCTGGGGACCTTCAAGGACCCGAGGACAAGTTCAGGGTCCCAGACGCGGCGAGCAGGGTGGGAGCGTGGGGCATGGGAAGGTCCTGCGCAGGACAGGGAGCAGCCCCCCACCCTCCGCCCAGGGCCGGGAGCCAAGCTGGAACCAGGGTGCCCGTCCCTAACGGCGGGAGGCCCGGGCAGGCTGGGGTGACTGCGGTGTGCCTGTGGGTGATGGCACAGCCCACTGGGGCGGGGAGCGGGCTCCCTCCAGCGCGCGGGCGGGTGATGGGCGCTTAAGGCGAATGAGTCCTTGGAAGGTCACTGGACACGCGGCTCCGGTGCTCAGGGGGTGCCCGGGGTGGTGGCCACGTGGGCGACCTGAAGGAGCAGTGCTGCGTGACCAGGGAGAGGCCGCGGCGAGAGACAGGAGGGCGGACAACGGACCCCGGAGCTGGCGGAGGAGGAGGGCCCTGCGCGCAGCGCGCGGTGCGGTGCATGCGCATCTTCACCGCACTGTGTTCAGCGGACGGACGTTGAAAACTAGGCCCGATCTACAGAGAAATAGCTCCGGGCCTGGTCTGGAGGCTTCCGAGGGTGACACCTGCGTTGGGCGAGACAGAGTGTGGCGTCCTGTCCCTGCCATCTGCGCTGGGGGAGCGCGGGCGCCCCGCCGCCTACCGTGTCCCCCGCTGCACACCCAGGGCACGTGCGCATTTCTTGTCCTGCAGCCTTTGTGTCAGGAGCAGGCACCCCGGCGCCGCCTCCCGCTTCATCCCCGCAGCTCCCCAGGGTGCTTTACTCAATGCCTGGAGGGGCCTGAGAAGTGAGACCGCTGATGTCTGATCCGCTCTCTGGGGCCCCTTCTGCGTTGAGCTTGGAGCTTGGGAGCATGGGTCGTGGGCTGGGCCTTGGGGATTTTGTTTCACAGCAGGAAGTAAGGGTAGAAAGCAGGATTTTCTCAAACATCAAACAAAAGAAGAATAAAATCTGTTTCAGCTTCTCATTGATGGCAGGGTGCCCGCCCAGGTGCGGGTCTCAGGGAGGCCACGCCTGCCACTCCCAGGCCTGTCCATGGGTGTTCAGGGACAATGATGTCCAGACTAAATTGATGGGGACACTGTCATCCTCTACGTGGCTCCTGCGAGCCATTCAATGGGGGACGGGGCGGGGCAATGCAGAGAGAGGCAAATGCAGCACCAGCTGGCACATGGGCGCCCTAGCGGGGAACCCACGCACCCCCGGCCACCGGTAGCACGAGCCTTCCTCCCAGACGGTGTCCCCTGGTGCCGGTCCCTCTCAGGAGTCCCGACAGCACCATGGTGCGTCGCGTGAACCGCCAGGCACCAGCTGTGTGAAATGTGTGGTTTCCCCAGGTCCCCAGGAGGCCATTTGTCACCCCATGTTTATGGAGTTGGTGGCACAGCAGCGTCTGGCTCTGGGGGATGGGCACAGAGAAGCGGTGGGTACCCGCCATGGGTCCCATGCAGTGGGAAGGACAGGGATGCAGGTTGCCAGAGCCCGAGGGGGCTGGAGAGCCACCGCATCGAGGAGGAAGGAGGGAGAACAGGGAGCTATGCACCCAGATCCCACTCACAAGGAGTGTGGTCTGCTCAGGTGCCATCACAAAATGCCCCAGGCAGGGGCCGCAACAGCAGACATCCATTTCCTCACAGTTTTGGAGGCTGGAAGCCCGAGGGCAAAGTTCCGGCAGGGTCGGGCCTCTTTCCTGGCTGGGCAGATGGTGGCCTCCTCAAGGTGTCCTCACGACGCAAGGACACATAGATCTGCCTTCCTGTCCTTGCAAAGCCACCATCCTAACAGGTCAGGGCCCCGCCCTCAGGACCTCATTCGACCTTAATGACCTCCTGAAGACGGTGTCGCCAGGCCCTTTGGGGGTAATGGCTTCAGCAGGTGACCTGGGGGAGGGACACAGTGTGGTCCTTAGCATGAACAAAAAGGCACACATACAACAAAGGGTGTGTATTAAAGGGGCTCATCCTGGTGGTCACCTGTGGAGGTAGAGGGTGGGGCTGGTAAATTGGAATAAAAGGAAATCAATTTATCAATTGGTCAGTCAAGAGAGGCCACTGTGCAGGCCCAGGGAGGCCTCTGGTGCAGCCCAAGGAGTGTGCTAAGGCCCCCTCTCACCTGAGACTTTGAAAATGGTGAGCGTTCCTGGGTGCCAGGTGTGGGTTTGGGCCACGGTGTATTTGTGATTTCAGGTTGCACTTTTCTTGTAGACAGTTCACCCAGGAAGCTCCCTCTCCTGCCGTGGAAACTTGATGTCCAGGATGGCCCTGTCTAACACCACAGCGATGACACCCTTCTCGACCAAGTTGTGGCAGGAGACAGTTCAACAGGGCGGCAACGTGTCAGAGCTGGCCCGCCGGGTCCCCGGGGACAGCCACGGTGAGATGGAGGCGCTCTACATCCTCATGCTGCTGGGCTTCTTCGGTTTCTTCACACTGGGCATCATGCTCAGTTACATCCGCTCCAAGAAGATGGAGCACTCCCACGACCCCTTCAACGTGTACATCGAGTCCGACGCTTGGCAGCAGAAAGACAAGGCGTACTTCCAGGCCCGGGTCCTGGAGAGCTTCAGGGCGTGCTACGTCATTGAAAACCAGCTGGCTATGGAACGACCCAGCATGTACCTTCCCGAGATGAAGACTTCATGCTGACACTACGTCCAGTTAAAAGGGGACAAAGTCAATGGGACAATCTGATTTTTCTAATCCTATGCTCTCTTACACTCTGTATGGTAGGGATACAATTTTTTGCTATTATAAGGGTGAGGGGTGGATTAACACTACTTCTCTAAGATCACATTCCTTCTATCCTAGACCATCAGCTGTTCCCCAGGATCTGTTCGCTGAGATGGTAAGGTCTGTAGTTCACAGACTCCCTTGCAGCTAGCAGGTCACATGATGAAGTTTTGGCCAGTGGAAGTGGGAGTGATGAGGGCAATTTCTGAGTGATTGTGTCTTCCCAAAATATTTGTTCAAGTCCTTAGTACCTGCAAATGTGACCTTATTTGGGAACAGGGTCTTTGCAAATGCCATCAAAGTGAGATGAGGTCCTTGGGGTCAACCCTAACCCAATACAATGGATGTCCTTCAAAGAAGAGGGAGATTTGGACAGAGACACATAGGGAGAACCCATGTGACAACAGAGGCAGAGACGGGGGGGACACAGCCACAAGCCAAGGAACGCCAAGGTGACAGCCAGCACAGAAGCTGGAAGAGGCGAGGAGGGAGTCTCCCCTGCAGGTGACAGAGGATGCACAGCCCCGTGACCCTGTGACTTCAGACTTCTGGCCTCCAGGACTGTGAGTTGATGTAAGGCCACGTAATTTGGGATTCTCTGTCATGACAGCCACTGGAAGCTCACACAGTGCCTCCCTGCGCCCACCCCCGCCAACGTGACAGCTGCCTTCCTCTCCGCCCGCCTTCTCCTCGCAAAACAGAAGATCCCCTCACAGATGAGGGGTGGGAAAGGGACTGCAGGGGTGGGGGGGGAGGTGGATGGGCCCAGGAGGGTGGCTCACGGCTGCAGAGGAGGCCCCGTTCACATGGCCCGATCGGGGGTGGCGGGGGGGGGGTGGGAGCTGCGGAGCCAGTGCCGCGGGCGCAGCCCCTCCTCCAGCCACCGTGGGAAGGCAGCAGGAGGTCTCTGCGCCCACACGCTCACCTGAAGAGGACGGGCACTTCAACCACACACGGCTGTTCCCAGCCTCCCCCAGCATCGGCAGCCTCCTCAAGGGCACAGGCCGAGCCCGCGCACCCCCAGGCCTGCGTCCCATGATGGACGGGCAGCAACGCCTCTGGCTGAGCCTGGAGGCCCTTGGCTGGGACATCTTTGGGGCACAGCCTGGGTGATTGAGTCCTTGGGATGGGTGGCTCTTGGGGTCACAGAGCCCTTTGAAAATCTAATGAAAGTTAATGATCCCCCCATACTCCCCCCAAAAATACTCATAGGCACATTTTGCCCGCCGTCTTGGGGGTTTGCGGGCCCCCAAAAGCACACCTGACTGCTGGCACCTTGTAGCCCCTTGGGTTCCCTGCTTCAGACAGGCACATGTCTCGCCCGTGGGGGAGGAAAGGCAGGCTGGGAGCTCGGGTGGAGAGGGACCCGGAGCGACCACCACTGAGCCACCATGTCACTCTGGCCTCGATATTCCAGGTGTAGAACTGGCTCCGGCCATCAGTTCGTGCCGCCTCCCACCCCCGCTGCCCCAAGACTCCTCCCTGTCCTTGGGGGACCAGCTGGCGGTTCGGCCCATTCCCTGTGCCCCAAAACCTCTCTTGAGCCGTGGTTTTCAAATCCTTGTTACCGTGTTTTAAAATCTGGCCCAACAGGCATAGACTGCTTGCTACACCTAGATGCTGTGCTGAGCTCTTTAGAACTAGAATCTCAGTTACTATTCTGTGTGTAACATGTTATGTGCTCAGTGGATTGGGCAACAAGCGTTTTGGGGTATTAATAGGATCTTTTTTAAAAATTAAAGACTTTTATCATGATCAGTGGTGTGTGTCTCTATCACTGTGGCCCTTTTAGGAAGTGGATGCGGGTTCCCGGAGGATTTAGAGGGGACACCAGGGCACTGGTGGACAGCTAACCTCCGCGGCAACCCGCTGGTGCCGCAGAGAGAGAACAGGGAGCCCAGCCAGGCGGGGCCAGATGCGGACTGTGAGCCACCCCCCACCCTCCACTGGCCCCGTCCAGGGCGACTGAGTGGTACATTTTCCACCAGCTGGCAATGTGCACTGTCCGGATGAACTTGGTTATTTAAAAAAATAAACGAAATCTGGATGTCTGTTTGAAATCTCTTGATTTTCAAATATTTGCAACTAATTCAATTTTTAAAAATTGTGTGGGCCAAACAAAATACAACCGGGGACCGAGTTCTGCCCCAAGACCACGGATGTAAGCACTCTGCGCTAGGGAGAAGGCCCAGCCCCTAGCCAGCCCCAGGCCACCGCTGATCGAAAGTGGGGTCAGAGCGGGGACCCTGCATCTGAAGGGCTGCCGGCCTTGCTGGCAGAAGCAGGCGGAATCTTTGGTAGCTCTGTCCCCAGTGTGGTCCTGGCCGGGCACCCACAGGTCCCTGCCCCGCTGGGGGACGCTCCATCAGGCTGCCCGCATCTGGCTCAGACTCATGGGCAGGTGCTGGGACCCCCTCCCCCTTCCTTTGTGAGGGGACCCCCTCTCCCATGTCCAGGAATGGCTCCGCCGCCCTTTCCAGCCCGCGGAAACCCGTCTCTCAGCCAGACCTGTGCCGCCTTCAGTCCCAGGCCTGGGGACACCAGCGCTGTGCATGGAGGGACCCCCCCTGAGGTGACCGCGGAGGTCCCGATACCCTCCACTGGGGAGCACAGAGTCCCAGCGTAGGCTGTGGGGTGCCCGACACGCAGTGCCCAGCACTAGACAGAGGAGGGCCCTGTGGCTGATGAGTCCCGTTAGCCCTGGAGCAGGGCTGCGGCTGCCGGCAGGAGGGGCTCCTCTGTCCGGTCTGCTCAAAGGACACCATGTGGACATCATCAGCCCTAGGGCCCACCCTACCCCAGGATCATCTCACTTGTAGACCCCGCCCTTAACTGCAGCAGCAACCACTGTCTCCGGAGAAGGCCACATGTTGAGACTCTGGGCGGGCATTCAGCCTAGTGCAACAATTTAGGGCCAACAGCTTAGAACAATGCGGACACAGAACAAGCTCATGACACGTGTTCACGGTGCCTGTTCTCACCCAATGCAAGCTGCTGCTGTAAACCCGATCGTGATCTTTGTCAACGGAGGTTTTCACTGCCTACAAGGGAATAGAGGCCGAGCAACACAGAGATGCTCCAGGAGCTGCCAGTGAACAGGACGAAAAGGAAAGGCTGCTTGTCACGTGTGGTGCCGGCTGCCCTACAATCCCATGACTCCGCACATTATTCTGGGTGTTTATCCAGGGAAAACAAAAACACTGATTCGAAAAGATACACGCACCCCTACATTCGCTGGAGCCTTACGTACAGTAGCCGAGAGACGGCAGCCGCCTGGGAGTCCGCCCATGGCTGACTGGACACCGAGGACGTGGTGCACACACGCAGTGGAACGTTACTCTCCCCCATACAAATGAACGAACGCCTGCCCTTTGCAACAATGCGAATGGGCCTAGAGGGTCTTACGCTCAGTGAAATAAGTCAAAGTCAAATACCATATGATTTCACGTATGTGCAGAACTAAAACACAAGGAACAAACATAATAAAACAACAACAGACTCACAGAATCAGAAACCAAAGAGGTGGTTGCCAGAGGGGACGGGGTGGGGGGTGGATGACAAAGGCGAAGTGGGGGACGGTCCATGATGTGGCAGTTTGCACGGTGACAGACGGTTACTAAAATGGGCGGGGTGACCACACTGTAAGGCATAAAAATGTTGACTCGCTATATAAACTAATATAACTAATATACTACTGTATGTTAACTATATCCAATAAAAAATAAAACAGTAACAAGTCCTCACATAGGCTGCCTGAGGCAGGACACCGGAGGCGAGATTGTTCCTTCAGGGATAAAAGCAAAGGGGCCCAGGGCGGGGCCTGCTCAGCGGTCAGCGGCCCGCGGCCCTTCCCCGGCCGGCGCTGGGCATGCACTGGGGGCCTCCTGCTGCTTCACTCTCAAGTAAATGAAAAGAAAAAGAAACATCAGTTATTTTAAGCACGTCCCCAAGGGTGGGCAGGCCTGAGCCCCTCCAGTCAGGGACGTGGGAACCTGGGGGTGGGGGGTGGAGGGCACGCGCTCGAGGGCTCACCCTGACGAAGAGAAAAGGAGAAGCGGAGAAAGAAAGGCACCAACGCGCCCTGGAGTCCGAGGGATGGAGGGGAGGCCTGCTCAGGCCACGGAGGACGGCGACGCAGTCGCATTCCCCAGGCTCTACGCTCACAGGGCCTCCGGGAGGCGCTGAGCGGCTCTGCAGGGCCCGGGGGCTCTGATGTGGTGGGAGCTTTGGGTGAAGGGCTGTGCTGTTTGAGCTGCTTTCTTGGGTCAAAGACTTTGGGGCCTTGCACAGCATGGAGACGTTCAACACGTCACTCCCCCCACCCCCCACACAGCTCCCCAAGGTGAGACGTTTCCTGGGGCCACAAGAGGTCTGAAGGCACTGGATTTGGAGCAGGCCCTCCATGGACCTGCTGATGGAGCAGAGAGCGGCCCCCAACTGTGCTCGCCCCCTGCCGGCAGCACAGAACTCCGGGGGCTGGCACACCACAGAGCGCCCCGCTGCCAGCAAGGCGCGGCGTCACCGGGCTTCAGAGATGCGGACAAGTGTCCTCAGCCAGCATTTGGCCAGCTATGGCCCACAGGCCAAATCCAGCCCTCCATCCGTCTTTATAAATAAAGTTTTATTGGAACAATCACACATCACTTACATACTGTCTAGCACTGCATTCACACAACAAAGGCAGAGTTGACGTCTTGTGACAGAGGTTGTATGAATCACAAATCCTAAAGAATTGACCATCCGGCCCTTGACAGGGGGAAAAAAAAAGCGCACTGACCCACCATCTTAAATGTTCGCCTATGTGGCCAAACTCGGTAATGTTGGCCCCCTGTGGCCCTATGGACGGATACTCTGTAGCATGTGACACAGGAGCCACAGAGGACAGGCACCCGGTCACTCTCTGAAGTCAAACTGAG